ATCACCGACGTCATGTCTGTGTTCGGTCAATGTGATCACTGACGTTGTGTCTGTGTTCGGTCAATGTGATCACCAACGTCATGTCTGTGTTCGGTCAATGTGATCAGCGACATCGTGTCTGTGTTCGGTCAATGTGATCACTGACTTCATGTCTGTGTTCTGTCAATATTATCACTGATGTCGTGTCTATGTTTGGTCAATGTGAACCGACGTAATGTCTGTGTTCGGTCAATGTTATCACCGACGTCATGTCTGTGTTCGGTCAATGTGATCACTGACGTCGTGTCTGTGTTCGGTCAATGTGATCACCAACGTCATGTCTGTGTTCGGTCAATGTGATCAGCGACATCGTGTCTGTGTTCGGTCAATGTGATCACTGACTTCATGTCTGTGTTCTGTCAATATTATCACTGATGTCGTGTCTATGTTTGGTCAATGTGAACCGACGTCGTGTCTGTGTTCTGTCAATGTGATCACTGACGTTGTGTCTGTGTTCGGTCAATGTGATCACCGACGTCATGTCTGTGTTCGGTCAATGTGATCAGCGACATCGTGTCTGTGTTTGGTCAATGTGATCACCGACGTCGTGTCTGTGTTCCGTCAATGTGATTGGCAATGTCGTGTCTGTGTTCGGTCAATGTGAACCGACGTCATGTCTGTGTTCGGTCAATGTGATCACCGACGTCATGTCTGTGTTCTGTCAATATTATCACCGACGTCGTGTCTGTGTTCTGTCAATATTATCACCGCCGTCGTGTCTATGTTCGGTCAATGTGAACCGATGTAATGTCTGTGTTCGGTCAATGTGATTGGCGATGTCGTGTCTATGTTCGGTCAATGTGAACCGACGTCGTGTCTGTGTTCGGTCAATATTATCACTGATGTCGTGTCTATGTTCGGTCAATGTGAACCGACGTAATGTCTGTGTTCGGTCAATGTGATCACCGACGTCGTGTCTGTGTTCGGTCAATGTGATCATTGATGTCGTGTCTGTGTTCGGTCAATAAGAGAGGGTTAGTGGCCTTTACTACCCTCCGTGGTCAGTTAGAAGTCCTGGTTCTGCCAGCAGGTACATTAATGATTGCTGGCTGTGGTCAGCCAGTGTCTCCAGAATATAAGGGTGGGTATACGTATATGAGAGGACCCTCATACACCCATCCTTTATACTGGCTACAGTGTAAGAAGTGATATTTTTACCCTATACAATGGCTGTATGGAGGAGTGAGACATGTCCTTTTATATTGAAGACACTGGCTGATGACATTAGGAACCCCATAAGAAGATATATGTATACCCACCCTTTTACACTGAAGGTATTGGTGAGAATAAGTTGAACGATCTTGCAAGGAAGGACATTTTTACTCTATATGTTAATGGTGTGGAGGGATGAGACACAAGCACTGGCTGATAGGTTGAAGGATCTCGTAAGATGTGACATTTTTACCTGATATGTTGAAGGATCTCGTAAGGTGTGACATTTTTACCTGATATGTTGAAGGATCTCGTAAGATGTGAAATTTGAATCTGATAGGTTGAAGGATCTCGTAAAATGTGACATTTTTACCTGATATATGAAGGATCTCGTAAGATGTGACATTTTTACCTGATATTTTGAAGGATCTCGTAAGATGTGAAATTTGTATCTGATAGGTTGAAGGATCTCGTAAGATGTGAAATTTTTACCTGATAGGTTGAAGGATCTCGTAAGATGTGAAATTTTTACCCGATAGGTTGAAGGATCTCTTAAGATGTGACATTTTTACCTGATAGGTTGAAGGATTTCGTAAGATGTGACATTTTAACCTGATAGGTTGAAGGATCTCGTAAGATGTGACATTTTTACCAGATAGGTTGAAGGATCTCATAAGACGTGACATTTGAAATGATATGTTGGTGATATGGAGATAAAGAGGTGAAACCTACCCTTTTATACTGAAGGCACTTGCGAGAATATGTTGAAGCATCTCATAAGAAGTAATCTGCGGATCCAGGGAGAACTTCTTGTACTCCGGCTGAATGAAGCCTTCACATTTCTGCAAATAAAAATAAAAACTGTAACAAAATTCCAAACACAAAACAACTATTTAACATTACATGTTTTCTGCTACATATCAATTCCATGAATGATGAAGTTTCAATTAAATTAAGTCGATCAGGAAAATTAATTCAAGGGACTTTTTGATGATCATTCTAACTGATATTCTGAGCATTAAAGTCTGGAATATTTAAAAGGTGATATATGCCTTATCCATATGAATGGGTAAGGAGCTTTCATTTGTGAGGTCATTGTCAGGACCTGTGACATCACAGGAGATGACTATATAACACGACTCTGACATCTTGGTAACATAAATGTGACACCACTGGGGGTGACAAGCCTGTAGTAACATCACTATGGGAGCAAAATATAGAACACCCTGTGAATGACACACATGTGACAACACTACCCTGGGTATTACAGGAGTTTGACAACACTACGCTGGGTGTGACAGGAGTGTGCCATTAGTCTGGGTGTGACAGGATTGTGACATCAGTCTGGGTGTGAAAAGAGTGTGACATTAATCTGGGTGTGACAGAAGTGTGACATCAGTCTGGGTGTGACAGGAGTGTGACAACACTACCCTGGGTGTGACAGGAGTGTGTCATCAGTCTGGGTGTGACAGGAGTGTGCCATTAGTCTGGGTGTGACAGGAGTGTGACATCAGTCTGGGTGTGACAAGAGTGTGACATCAGTCTGGGTGTGACAGGAGTGTGACATCAGTCTGGATGTGACAGGAGTGTGACATCAGTCTGGGTGTGACAGGATTGTGACATCAGTCTGGGTGTGACAAGAGTGTGACATCAATCTGGGTGTGACAGGAGCGTGACATCAGTCTGGGTGTGACAGGATTGTGACATCAGTCTGGGTGTGACAGGAGTGTGACAACACTACCCTGGGTGTGACAGGAGTGTGACAACACTACCCTGGGTGTGACATGAGTGTGACATCAATCTGGGTGTGACAGGATTGTGACATCAGTCTGGGTGTGACAAGAGTGTGACATCAATCTGGGTGTGACATCAGTCTGGGTGTGACAGGAGTGTGACATCAGTCTGAGTGTGACAGGAGTGTGACATCAGTCTGGGTGTGATATGTCTGTGGCCTCACTCTCATAAAACATGTTCCATCACTGAAAATGACAGTCCTG